TATATTAAAATATATTGAAGATGAATTCCTGCTGCTTTTGGTTAAAGTTTGCTTTTCGATAAATATAAATCGACGTTACTAGTTTGCCAGTATCGAAGACGTTTGCCATTTTCCAATTATGTCACGAGTGAAATATTTCAATGATTAATGTAATAATTGATTGGTAGAAGTACGTTTTGTGCCAAGAGTAAAATTAGCCAGACAAATTAAGGTTACTACGCTATTTAAAAGTCCACACAATTAACTTAAATATCGGTAACGTTATACTGACTGTGGCTGAAGTAAATCCTGAAACAATTTTTATATTGACCAATGTTTAAGTCAAAACAAACGATCTTATGACACCTACACAGCTCTCTGGTTTGATGTTCAACGTATCGAGAAATAAGATTTCATTACAAATCCTACGGTTCTCTACTGTTTTAATGAATATTTCAATTAATCAACTTTATAACAAGTATAATTATGTGTAATGCAAATTATTTCAACACATCTTAAAACGTTGGTAGCTGACCCCCTCTTCGATGAAATCGAATGTTTTTGTAGTACGTAAACGTAGTTGCAAACGTTCATAAGGCCTGCTATTATATACTGGACTGTCTTCTAGTCACATTAATTGTTAATGATGTCTTGTTTATACTTCACATCAACATATCTTTAAACTGCTTGTGAATATGTATGAATCATTGAAGGGTGTCTATGTCAACAGATAAAATGCCGGTTTATTCGTGTTTAAACTATTTTATGTATTCAGCGAGACTTAACAAAACAAGAAAAGTAAAACTTTTTTTTTTTATGAGAGACATTCCTACTATATATGCATTCGATCTATCATAAAATCACTATTTCTTTTTTAGTTTTTTATTTAATCGAAATATTCTTGTTTTATTGCGACAGATTTTGTTTGTGCAAATCAAAAGTAAAAAAATCATCGAAGTGACTGTAGAACTGTATAAATATTTAAAACTTGATTTGTTCAACTATGCTGCAATTCAAACCCAATATTGATATATATGCATGAATGGCTATGATTTTGATTCCGTAGCTGGAAACACCGATGTTTAAAACTGGGTAAAGATTGCTTCCCTTTGGACACAGTTATCGACTATTCTGAGTTATGTATGGCAGTGTGGCAGCACGGAGAACTGATCGTAAAACGCATCCTTTACGTTCCCTTGTCATATGTTTTATCTCCACATTAATTGAATTAGTCATCTAGCAGATGTATACCCATCGTTTAGTAAAACATACAAATAATTTACCACTTAACTGCACATTCCCCTTGCCAATGAACAGAAGACAAAAACAATCTCATAGTCGAGATGTCGCCCTACCCTACACCTCTTAATACTTATACCACGTTAGGTATTCACTGATAACCATCACCGAGACTACATAATTTCATTGTTTTGTGTAGTCCTTCGAGATTGCACAAGGCATTTAATCGGTATTTCCCGTCATACAACGATCATAGCTTCTGCCTAATCATCCTTCCGGGGTTTAATTATCATCAACAATATCCGATGGCAAAGCCTGAGTGCCTTCCATGTGCAGGTTTAATATTGTCACATCGGGTCCATTATGGTAGGTCTATAAATATCCACAGGCCATTACAGAGCTGATACATAGAACAAGTAATCTTTGTGACAGGCTTCAAAACACAGTAAATTCACTGAACAGGGTACAAACATAACGTACATATTACATGAACCTCAATGCCAATTTTAAAGTGAATATATTCTTCAGCAGAAAATTCAATTGATTCAATCCTTGACGTCAAAATGTACTTTCCTAACGTCTGACAGGAGGTTTTATTGAATTCGTTTTTGACAAAAATCTCAGCAAATCATTTTTATATACAGATTGAGAATTGCCATTATCGCATCAGTGTAACAGCCGGACCGTGCTCTATGCTTATCGGTATATCTACGAGTCCGATCCACTGATAAAGTCAATTACATTGGAAACAACCGTATTTACTTACTGTAATAACCATGCGTACATCACTTATCCCTGGAGATCAACCGCATTACAATATGGTAGACAGTTTAAACAATAGTGTATATATATTGATTAGCGGTAATGCAGTAATCACATCTAACAGATTCGATATTCACTAGATACTGCTTTACTCTCACATTGAAGCGGTACCTCTCTGGCGTCTCCCCGGTGATGTGAAGGACAATGCTTTTAATACAACTGGCCCCACTGCTATCAAACAATTCAATTTTGTTAAGCGTTTCCCCATTGTTTGATATTGTTCGAGTTTCCTCAATCGTAATATGTTTCAAACGAGGTAGGACTGGTTACCTTTGTATGTAAATGCTTATTTCTTCAACACACATTATCTATCAACAATCTTGAACAACTACATATGTTATAATTACATCTGATAATATTAGGAAGAACAGTACTATTCCAGACACTGAATTGCGTTTATCATTATAATATCAATAAATATTACGGAGCCCTATTATTGGTAAATGCGATATATATGCATATTTTACGTAGGGGCAATTAAAAATTGCAGATGAAATTTAGTATTATATGTCTATCAGATTATCTCTCTTTAATAACTCCATTCATATCCGGCGCACCTAGCCACTCTTCGTTTTAATAAAATAATTATTTATTTTTTCACATGTTTACATCTTTCAGCTTCCGGTTAACCCCTATTTTAAAACTAGGTTTAATATTAAATAGTTATCTCTCAAACATGACCATCCGTGTGTTTCTAAAAATCGTTTTGTACATAGTGCGATTCGGCGAATTTCTTAAATTGAATACTACTATAGTACATACTACATACTACTATGTGTACGTCGTACACATATACCACCAAAAGCACATTGAATAAAGCTCACTATGACAGGTAGAAAATGTAAAAAAATAGAATTAGTCCGTTTCAAAAAGTGTCGGTGTTTCTATATGTCACGCAACAAAATGCACATATTTTCCCACAAAATAATACTAAAAATTGTGTACAGAAATAGCATAAATGTGCAAAATATATATCACGACCGTCCTGTAACATAACCATCATAAAGTCAGGAGAGCAACAAAATTGGCATTATTGTACGTTTATACTTGATGTTGTGCAAAAAAGGTTCAGAATAAAATAAATCGTTCCAACCATACTCGCAGAAAAACATTATATCTAAAGTAATTTCATTGGAGATCTTCAATAACTTAATCAAGTGATATATTCGGTAGTATTATACAAATTATAACTTATAAACACCCAATATATAAATATAAATATAAGTATGCAATATTTATGCTCTCGTTTAATTTCAACGATATCTGAATAAAAGTCAATTTAGCGCCATAACAAGCATAATCAACGTACATGTTTAACTGATATGTTAAAACCTGTAACTTCAGTATTTTTTTAGTACGTACCTCTACATTTAAAAGGCGAACTAGCGTGTTTTGCGCAAAAAACAATAACTCATTCTTAAATATCTAAATTTCATAAACCACAGGGGATTGTCATATTCTTTCCTACAATTTGAGGGGAGCAAGTCAAACTAGTACTTGCGTAATACAAATATGAAGCAAAGCAGCTATAACAAAATGTATAGACTGTATGTGTATTTGTTCAAATGATAATACAAAGAAATCATTGAGTACAAACAATAGTATGTAAATATCGGTTGAGAACTTAATTACATTTTGGTCATAATTATCTCAAAAGATTTAACATTCATGTAAATATTTATGTTGTGCTTATAAAATTATATTTTAGTTGTTCAAATCAAGAATAGAATAAACATCATGACTCTTCTTGTCTAATATCTTTTTAACCTAGAGGCGACATTTGACTAAACAAAGCATAAAGATCTTTATGCTTTGTTTAGTCAAATGTCGCCTCTAGGTTACACCGTTAATCTGGCCATAAATCACCGTTGATGCCGATCGATGGGAACGTAAACAAAGAAACAATTGCAAGAAAGCGAAGTATTCTCGATAGCTCGGGGGTCTATTTGTCACAAAAGATTGCAAATCATCTGCAGAAGAGATGTAGGAAATCAAAAAGCTAAGGGGTTTTAAAATAAGAAAATCAGTTACAATGTCATGCATTGCTGAAATGAAAAGAAGCAAGGTAAGGATACCGTTTAAAAGAGTCATATCGGTTGAAGCCAGCTAAACCTATGAAATAATATACCCATGTCTTTTACATAAGTAGCAATGTCTTCAAGTCAACGAAACTGAAAATGGTTTTCATATCTGGGAACTGAATGTGTAAATCTTGAATGTAGCTAAAGTCCGAATAATATTCTATTAAGGAAATGCTCCCTTGTAAAAGTGGAGTAGCATGATTGGCATAAAGGTGACTCTCCTCCTACCAGAAGATTCTTATGAGTGAGATAAGTATGACCAGGTAAAAGGCGAGATATACAGCCTCCTTTCTGCAATCTTTTTTTCTGGGCAGTTTTGAGTTTTGGTAGCTCTTCGAAACAAATGTTGCGCTGGCCTCAAGAGACATCGTTGTTGCCATTAATTTTGAATGAGCGATCAAATAATGGGTTCGAAATCTTTATATGGCAGGTTGATATTACTTTGCTTGAGAATTAAAGCAATTTTAGCTGCTCTGTGAGAATTTTCATTACCTTTAATTCCGATGTGGCTCGGAATCAATAGAAAAAAGTGCGGGCATTGCTTTAAGATCCAAGAAATTTGAAGAAGGAGTCTTTGTATCAGAGTGTTTTTAAAAATATCGTCGTTTCTCACAGACAAGAAGTTCACTAATGCGGTGTTAATACCCTTTGATCCTCGTGCAATGAATAAACGAGACAATATACGATATATGGTTTACTCATACATGTACGTGTGTCCATAGAAAAGTTGAAAATAATGACCGCAGAAAGAACATCGTAAATAGAGAAAGCGAAATTTTGCTGAAAGTGTAATAAAGACATTAATACCTTTAAAAAATGAAACTAAATTTCAATCATTTCTGAAAATGAACGTGTTATAAACAGAATAGAAATACTTACCATACATAGCAAACCCGTGAAACGGAATTACTCCATTTGGCGGGTAAACGACTGCATACTCCTCTTGTCCCATTTTCCCCCGTATATAAGATTTTGGAGGTGTGGCACTGTTCTGAGCGAAGTGTTTAAGAACACATGTATCCCTTGAAAATGGCAGGAGGACCTGAATCAAATAGAAATATTTAAATGCATTCAGAGGTTCATACTTTCGATGCGCTGTTGCATTAATTTGTTTAATTTAAGGAAGGAAAACGTTTTTTAATTTCTCACCTGGTACAGGAAGTCTTCAAAAACAAAGTACTGGTCATCATTTGTGGCAGTCAGCTTAACATCCTGAGGAAGAGAATGTGTATCATACGAATGATTCAACTATTGAAATATCTTGCAATGATAGAACGAAGGGTTTTAAGGTCAGTCATGTCAAACAAGTATTCTAGTAACAAGTCGGATTGGAAAGCAAATCAATTTTCTTAATACCAAGTATTGAAACTTCAGATCATTTGTTTTCGCCAAAAACATATAAAAGAGACATACAACATTTAAAAAATAATCAGTAACATCTATCCCTTTTGAAAATGATGTTCTACGGTTTTGATGCATCTTCAATGAAATTGCATGTATGTGTAAAAACAATTTACATATATACCTTTATTGTAATTTTATCAACCAAAATCACGCCGTTTAATATCTAAAACCTTCTGACTTACATACATGATATGGTGAGTTTGGCAATATGTTACATAATATAAAATGCAATGTCATCGTTTCGATTAACAGAAAGTCAACATGCAATCTCATGCTTTACAAGTTTTGTTTACACCTATTGAAATTGATATGTCTATGAAAACTGATCAGATGTGTTTTTAGTAAACTATCTCTTCTCAAATGACATAAAGCGTGATTTACTTTGATGCATGTTGATACACGACAAATTGATGCCTACAGATAGATACTGTATTATTTGACTGCAACTGTACTGTGATTTAGAAATATTGATGGATTTGTTTCAAACGATAACCAATATATAACACTGCCTTTGACATGGAACATCAAGATAAAATACTTCAGGTTTGATAACACCTTCGTGAAGTGAGCTGTCAAACAGACACGTTCTTAGAAAGGGAATATAATTATTCAATTCCGTGCAGGCAATAAAACGCATACGAGCCATGAACCCCCGAGAGCGTTAGATCTTTTACTGTCGCAAAACATGTACAAGAAAAAGCCATTCCGCTAGTATGGCCCAGTACCATCCGATAATCATCTCCTCTCCTTGGTCTTCACAGCATCGATCTTATCACTGGTCTAACATGGAAATTGTATAATCGGACACAAATTATACCAATTAGGACATTAGTTGCAAAGATAAACAAGCAAAACGGTTATTTCGTTTGATCACGTGGTACGCTGTTTGTGTGTTTTCGTCGTCGAGGAGGGAGACAATTTAATCGCCTAGATGCTAATACAATCACCACAAAAAGGTCCGTTAGTCAGGGAAGGGTTGTCTCGGTTAGCGGAATGCACGAAGACGCACGAAAAAAACGATTTCATCTCAGTGTTATGAAAGGCTGATATTTCACTTAAATGTGACCATTTAAAAGTATAGTGTTTGCATGTTGACGTGAACTGGCTGTCGGGGCATTCAGCCGACGACGAGTTTGTACTAAAACAAATAAGTTCAAAAATCAATTCTGAGTACTAATCGACCCATGATAAAGGTAAGGCAGCCTTTCAATATTAATAAGTATCCACACTGTTTGCAAAATTTCCGATAAACAAGTAGAAATTTATGTTTTAAAGAAGGGAGGGACCTTGATATACTTTGTGCGGGTTAAGACACTGCTATTTACGAATGTGTACGGTTTGGACAATGGATACGATATTATCAAATGGTATGGTAAGAAATGCATATTCACAAACGCGACTGAGCGATTGGGCCTTCTGTCACTAACAAGTGTTTGGTTTTATAATAAATACGAAGAGCTATTTTGGCAGCTACGCATTGACTGTTACGAATCAAATTTTTCAGATGAAGAATCACAGAATGTCATTGGCCATTCAGCGGCCAATCACGAAAAGAACGGGTTGAAAGTTCAGAGCACATGCAGCTGTCATTGTATCAGGAAAAAATTATTACAGTAACACATACTTTCAAAATGATTCCCAAGTACTAACAAGGATTACAGCAATTACTAGAATGAAACATTTCTGGACATCAAAGGAGAATAATGATGGAATTATGAGAGTCATGTGAAAGCTTACCTTAAGTAAGGCAATGCCATTTTCCACATTAACCCATTTAAATATACTTCTGGGGATAATTTTATAATCTTATAAGGGATCTTTCTTTGATCATTACTTGATTTAAAATGACCAGATACCAATCTTTAAATAATATGCGTTACATAATCACATCATGAAAGGTAGATAATCCTTGCATTGACGAAAACCCCCGAATGTAATATATTACCTAATTGAACCAATTAAGGTAAAGCATTATTAGCATTTTTGTTATTATTATAATCCTTCATTTTTTTGTATATTGAATACACAATCCAGTTTCACAATTCATCTTTACAACATGAGGAAGATTATTTGTAAATGTCAAAAGTTCAGGGAAACTAATATGGTGCTTTAACAAAACCATACATTTCTTCTTGATTCCTTCTATTTGTGATCATACACTCAAAAATGGCAAAACGTAGTGTCTTACCTTATATAGTAGACTGTCAACAAGAAGGTCGTGTTGCTGAACGTTGACTTTCAATTGTTCATAATACAAAATGTCCTGAAAACAAAATGAACCAAAAGAGCTTCAACAAATGTCATTTGACATATATATCACTGCAGAAACCTTGTTTATCATTATTTCCATCCCTGATTCCTGAATTATATCGACATGTTACATTGCTCTTCTGATGATCATAACATTAACGAAAAGAACAGCCAATAAATGCATCTGAACTATTTGAATTTGTAACCGACTCTTCCAGCATATGGACGGAACATATATATAAACATTATTTAAATGTCACAATTACTTCTTCGTCGATCTCCACCCCCAACATCTGGCACCACAACGTAGCCCGTAGACAAGTAGGACATCCTTTCTTGGAGAACTCCTGGGCCAGTGGACCGTGACATGCATTTACCACTAGAATACAAAAGATGGCAGAATCAGAAGGCATATTCTAGCACATTGTAGGATACCTTTATATAAATATCTCCACATGACAAAAAGGGGGGAATTCATAAATCCTGTATTGCTGGGTCGCTACATGAACATTCCTGTTAAACAGAAGTAGAGAAAATGGCTGCATTTGTACCATTGTCTAGACCAACTATCTACAAAAAGTGTACCGTTCTAGTGTCATCAAACATAGGTAATTGCCGTTTGATAGAAAAACTTTCACATATAAAAGTTATGCTTATGATTTTGTAGTATTGGAAGCTTGTTTCGAGGTTTTTAATTGCTATACATCTATATTACTATAATAGATATGTAAATTAGAAATGATATATGTCATAATGTCAAAACCTACAAATATGAAAATATCAGTCACGTGTAATCAGAATCTAATTAACTGTTTAGCAGGTTGCAAATTTTCTTCCGTGCCTGTCTTTCAAGGCCCCTCTTAAATGCATCGATCATATCAATTATAACTACCTATAGGGTAAATTGTCTGTGCTCATATGACAATCTACATTGCTATGTGATCGAATTAGCAATCCACTGAATATATCACCAGCTGAGTGGAAAGATTATTGAACCGATATTGCTCTTTCATGTCCTTGTATCATTTCGTTTGAATAATAGACGAGAATCTGGTGTTAATCAAGACTTTAGATGTTATTGGGCAGAGCAGTGGCGCAGGCCCGCCGGTGTAGATGTTCAGTCAAACAAGGGACTATATCCACTTGACAATAGTGACAACACACTTACGCTAATCATGCATAATCAGTATAATAATTAGCAACAGAATCCAGTATTTCTTCTTAGTTAACTAGCTGAGGGAAATTGCTTGTTTAAAAAATATATTTCCTTCAAATATTACAAGATTAAAACATTGTCATGTTTTCCTTTTTTCTTTTTAACATTTTAAACATATACATGTGCATCTTAGATAAGGTTATACAATATGAATTATATAGAACATCAGGTAGATTTAGTCACAAAATTTGTAAAAAAAAACTAACAACAAACAACTGTACACAAGTATTACTCAGTGTATAGCTTAGCCATACGTATAATATAATCACAAAGCCATCTGGTGCGCTTTTGGTACAAAGTTATCTTATTTTTAATGTTTACCTATTCTGATCAGTAACGGGTATTCATCAATTGTAATTCAAATGGTATAGCATGTTTCTTTCCAATTTTTTTTGTTCTAATTGACATAACATAAATGATAAATGAAATGATAAGCACACCGTAATCTGATGCAAGAACAATTAGTTTCAAGGAATGTTTGGGATTTAACGTCATCTTGGCAACATGCGTCATTAAAGACATCATGTAAAGTACTTCAGTTATATACACAGAGGAGACAACGAACTATTAATATCTTACATATGCCAATTTATGTGATGTCATAAGTACATAAGTCCAAACAAACACTTTTTAACATATCTAAATTTGATAAGTCTTATTTAATCCATCTACATACAAAAATGAAAACCTGTTGATTCCTAATTCAACTGTTGCCTCGTAAAATAGATTAGCCACAAATAGAAAAGGCAGATAAATTCAACATCACATATGTATCCTCAAATACCTTACATATGTAATTTTGGATTTGAATAAATTTTGTGACTTTAATTTAATAAAAGCAAAGATTTCTTTAAGTACCCTTAACAACGATTTAAACCAAACAAAATCACAAACATGCCTCTCGCATTTATACCTGTAATAATCGCAGTGACACGCACGTTAAAATGCGGTCGCCATGCATGCATACCTTACTTAATTGTCAGAATGTTAGGGAATCATAATTCGCTAGTAATAATATGCTTTTAACTGTGAACATTATCTTACCTTTCTTTCCAATCTTCATCTTGTCCGACTCGAACAACTCTGGGGGAATGTCTCCGAAGTCGTCTATCCCAGATTGACCTTGATTGATTGCCATATCACTGTACTGTAACCTCTGATTAACAAAAACATAACATCTTTGATATGATATCACAAAACACCTGTAAAAACAAATATATGTATACAAATATGACATGTGTTCAAAATGTCACCTGTTTTATGTAATCAGAAAAAAACCTGACAAATACAAGATGACCCAACATCCTTTTTTCCAGCTCGAACGAGTGTTTTTTTCTGCATTCGACTTGCGATGCAATACTTGCAAAAAGAGTACTTACTACTAATTCCGTTTTTAAGATATTTTAGACTTTAACATTTCATCAGCCCGTCGAGATTCAGTAGAAACTTGACAAATCCAGATGAGACTGCTTCATATCATATTCTGTGTTTGCTACATAGTATGTATATATCAGTTTTAATGCATGACAGTAAGATTTTGTTAGTAATCCTAAAATGATAAAGTAAAGAATCGGATTCATTGTTAAGGCATTGGATTACAGTTGATAATTCAATAGAGAGTTTATTCCAACATATATTTCTATATTAGAACTGCGTTCACAAGCCATTGGTTCAGTATTGTTTAATGTCCTATCAACAGCTATGGTCATTTAAGGACGTTCTCCCCTGTTTACAAGATGCATGCGTGTAGTGTATGCGTGTGTGTTTTGTGAGGCTTCCATATGGTCGTGTTTGTCTCCTTGTAATAGCGCGGAACTGATACCGACTGTATAGTGCTACCTCACTGAAACATACTGCCGAAGACACCCACCAGGACACCCACAAGCCAACAACACTTTATAAGACTGATATTTCCGACAACGTTTACAATTTTTATTCACAGTAATCAACCAGCCTTCATACAATTTCACTGCATAATGCTCAACATTGTTTGAGTAACACTATGTTACGGTCTCTCTCGCATGTATGTTCAAATTAATAGACCATCAATGTTAAAGCGTCAAATATAAACGAATGAAAACGTTCAAAAACACCTTTTGACCAGGTTCTTACATGGTTTATGATATGGCTTATGGTTCGACAATGCAATTAGAAGTACCAAACCAAAGTGATATTGACATTTGCAGCTAACACATAGTGTTGGTAATGCGTCTGTGGAGCTATAGATGAGTAACCCCCAAAATATAATGTAATATTCCGAGATATTGAGGTGCAGTTACCTTGGAGGATTCCATGGTAATGTGTCTGCGACGTTTTATGAGTGTATGTAAAAAAGCTGTTCATGTCATTGTCCGGAGAGCAACGTGTCTACAACAGCCGTATGACGGGCACAAATAGTGATTGAATTTACCTTCCAACACTTCCCATCCATGTGGGATTTTTAAAATTCAGATCAGCTGTGTGACAAAGAATATATAGCAGCATATGTTAAACCAAATTCATCGAATGTCAAGGCAAAGTGAACCATAAATATTAGCATTCACTAACAACACATGAAGAGTAAAGTTTCACTTACCAGTTTATTAATGCTTTTGACTTTAAGAGGAACTTGTACTATTCCCCAGAGATGATGAAACCTGCACAAAACGATTAATATTTTTTTGTTTTTTGTTTTGTTTTTATGTTTATCTCGTAAGGGTATATGTTTAAATAGAAAGAATATCATTTATTTATCATTTTGATTACAACATATGATACATACCATCATATATTTTGAATATATAATACATGTATTTATGAATACATAAAGCAATTAACCGGGATCATTTGTAAACCTTTCTACTATTTACTTTCATATATAACATATACAAAAAATCTACAAATTAGATGCATGAGGATAGAAAAATTAATTAACAATTGTTACGGTAAAGTCTGAATCACACCGTTTTTTAATCTACTTTTATTTGCCATTTCTATTTTCTTTTACTTTATGATGTTATTATATGTATACAAAGAAAAGAAAGACATACAAGCAACCAAATACATATTAAATTATTTTTCTTATCTATGAATTCATGTTAGAATTACTAAGAATTACTTCATTTTCATGTCATTGTGCAACTCTTTGTTGTAAATTACACTAATAATTATGCTTTCATATATACAGTACGTACAGTATAAAGAAACACTGTCAGGTATTCTAACATTATAAGATTGTTAGTTCTAAAACAATGAAGTCACAAACGTAATTTAGACATAATCAAGAGTATGCAACTCATTTGCAACACCGACGTACTCTTACCATACTGGGGCCAAAACATAATGTTCACATTACCTACCCTGGGGCGTCACCGTTGTGATAATTTGGATTTGACAATCCTATGATGACCTCAAGAAAATCTTTCGGTGCATAAACAGGACGAATCTGGGTCAAATCTGTAAAACGAACAATTACAGGTATATTCTACGTGTTTTGATCTTATTATTCATTCTTTCTACTGCTAATGAACTATCCAACCAAACCCACAAAAAAACCCACTATTTTTTAAACTTTAATGGTAAAACTTTTAACACTATTCATATTCTCTTAAAAAATAGCTTCTGTCCTGTTAAATACACATGTTACAACCTCTTTCACAAGTCATATAGTTATTTGGTACATGATAGTAATTTGGATAAAGAAAATCATTCTACATCCACATTTAACAACCAATTACTGAAGATGAAAACAAAAATCGTTTTAAATCATTATCTGCCTCAAAGAAATTCTTGAATTTCTATTTCTATCAAATCCAACTACCAAACCTGCTTGAATCAACAACGGGATAGAAGTGCTTTGTCCCGACTGACAGTAACAAAAAATGCCTTTCAAAAGATTAGTTTCCAATTTTCTACAGATTTTTCCTAATTGCCTATTTTCGTTGTCACAATTAATGTGATGTGCCATTTCCCGGAAAACACTTTTCTTCTTGCCCTAGAGCACTCTGTTGTTCAACTTTGACAATCCCCAAAGCCATTCACATCCAAGTAGTTAATTACAAAGCTTAGTGCTAAATAATTCAGTTCTTTCTGTGAAATTAATTTTCATCAACGTCTTGTTGTAGTTCAATTTCATCAACCATTAAACATTTGAAATAAAATGGCAGTTACAGTGTACACGCACACATTATATAGTTACGTTGCTGGTAGGATGTGTTCAGAGCAGTAGACTGGACGAGATATTCTTACACCAAGTAAATGAAAATATAACATCAAATCAAACAACACGTCAGTAAGTGGGCTTAACCCTAGGTTTTGAGGATGATAAGATAGTTGCTTGAAGATAAATGCCATATTTCAAACTAGGAATGTCCAACATGTCCGGTTAAACCTGCTGTCAATCACTGACAAATGCTCGACACGTTGGCCAAACAGTAAATTGTTCTAAACATATTTACAAACGAAGCAATTGAAAAAAAAATAGCATGACTTGGCAGAAGTTATCAAGCTCAAACGTTTTTGACTTTTCCTAAATTCTTATTACAGTTGTACCTGGAAACCAATGCACCAAATAGTAACCGAAATAAATGTCCAGTGCTTCAGCAAAACACAATATACGCAAAAGAATGACCTCATTTTCAAATATGTTTTTAACACCCATTATGAATTATCATTCCGGTTATGAGCATAGTGTTCAATCACTCATAGAAATAAACAATTTATTGTCCATCATATCTATATATATATATATATTCTTATGGGTCAAAGAAGTTCCTTGTCCGCGATGCTCTCAGCTTAATTGCTGCCTTCTGCTGTCTTTAGCCGAGGGGACTTTGGTTTTATATAATAGCTATATTTTCAATTATAGTATATCAATTCTATCTTCTTGTAATATGATGTATATGTACATGTAACTGTTCTGTTTCACTGTGTCTTGAAAAAGGAGCGGATCGCTCCGAAAATTTGACAATCTAAACTTGTCCACACTGTTGGAATTACTTCTTTGCCCCATATATATATTCTTAAATAGGTCGTCGTGCTTCTCTTGTGTTGTGATATTGTCTTCATGTAATGACTTTCATTTGTCCCACCGATTCGTGTGCGAGATATTGATCACTGCAGTAGAACAAAGTATCCTTCTGATACAACTAAGATTTTACTTCTGCCAGGTATACAGAAGTTATCTACTATGTCGAAGCATCAAAATGGTGTGAATATTGGTTTACCTGAGGATAAAAACAGTTAATTGGCGATTGGAGGGGTGACAATCATCCCTCAAATCACAAAAACGTAATCAAGAAATAGCTTAGCATCAAACATAATCCAATCAGTACATAGACTATGATCACATCGTTTATGTAAGTGATTTTAGTATTGATTTCTGCTGACAAGATACTTTTGAAATTGTGTGATGTATTTAGTTTTAAAAACCCTGCTCAAGTCAATGACATGTTTTATGAAAAAAAGCAAGCCTTTGTAATTCTATCTTTACGACTTGCACAACACGATTTCTGTGTTTAAAGCAAATTCACAACATGTTCTTGAAATCAGCAGAAAAGCTTTATTCTTTTTGTGAGGGGATTCTTAATGATCATGTCAGTGAAATCCTATTTTATGCAGCATAAATATTTAACAATGATGATGTTTATTGGACACATTTCACATTTCATTCTCTGTTACCTCAGCTTAAGTGTGGAGCAGTCTCCCAAAAGAATTACGGAAATGTGAAATATTTTTCGAATCCCGGAGGCTGATTTATACCCGAGTGGTTCCAATCTACACTAAAATATCTGCTGAATGTTGCTGTTCAGTCTGCTTCAGTTTGCTGACTTAAATGTGTTTTAAATTATGTCTTAGTTCTTCTATACATAGTATCTTCTTATTTTAAATGAATATCCAATGTGCATGCTATCATCTATCTATATTTCAGTTGCAAAGCTAATTATTTCTGCATTCAGCTATATTTCAGTTTCAAACTAAATTAATCAAACTGATCTTACCATGTCTTTGTTATGATTGATGTGATGATTTTTCATGTATTCTGTGAATAATAGTTCTTCAGACTTCATAATTCTGAGTTACATACGTACAACAATAAATATCATATTGCATCCTGCATCTACAATTTGCTCTTCTGCAGTGGCGGATCCAGAGGGGTTTTTTGGCCTTCAGGAACCCCCATCCCCCC